CGCGAAAAAATCCCTTTTATTTATAATTTTCGGACACGAAAAACTCTTCATTTCCCTTTCTTCAATAGCTATCGTTGATTGAAGGGTTGTTTAAAGAGTTGAAACGATGTTTTTTTTGCAGGCAAAGGAAGTATTGATTCATTTACAAGCGTACTTACTCATAGTGAGCAGAGCACTAATATTTTCTGTTAGAATGCAATTATATACAAGAAAAATACAAATTTAGTGTTTACGAGACGAATAACAGAAAATTATCTAATCTGATGAGCTTCTATTAAATATTTATCTTTTATTATTATGCATGCTTTATGGGAAAAATGCAATTTATACTAAACTTTAGTCAATGGCCGCTGGTGCAAAAGCGGAAAAATTAAACATCTTTCAACCAAAAGGCCAAAAAAATTAACATTCGTGTGATAAAAACTGGCAAAAAACTGCAATCGAAGTGCAAACCTTAGCTGGAATAAATTCGATCAGTAAATGTTACTGTTTCGGTAAAATATGATTGAATCTGTGTTCTATGCGCTCCTTCGAACACCCGCGCAACACGCCGCTTTCCCCTTGCCCCACAGGAACAAAGCCATTATTTACATGGAGATTTCGCTGCATTTAGTCCAGCACTAAGTGTGTTATTGGGCAGCTGAGTAGTATCGGTTGTTTGTCTGTTTTTTGCCGAATTTTTGCACGATTTTTCGACTTTTATGAGAGATAAACCATAGTAAAAAATTGTAATTTAAAAACAGCTTTACCGCAAAGGTATAAAAAGTGCAGCAGAGCCTCCATGTGCCAGAAATCAAACCGTTAACTTACTGAACGTTTGCGAACAAAAAGTATTCCTGATATTGCTAGAGCGTAGAAAAGTACAGCGTTACAAAATAGAACTCGATACGTACAACATCGGACAAATCGGTGTTGCCCTGGGGGCCCGCAAAACAAGCCATCCGATATTGGGCAAGCCTTCGTTGGCAAAATAAAGGAAAATATAGTGCCTAGTTTTCCGTCCGTATTGCCTCCTAAAGTTAGATAAAAATGAAAAATGAACGATCTGAAATGACGGACTAAGATAAATGTCTTTCCTACGTGAAACTCTAAGAACGACTGTTCGCTTCTCTATTTTGTTGAAGGGGGCGTAATTTATATGGTGACAACTTAATTATTATATTAGATGCAGTAGCTGATAGACGGACATTTATTCTCCACACTCGCGTCATTATAATAATATAAGATCCTTGTCTATTAGTTAATATCGTGATCATATGATAATTGGTTCAAAAATTGAATAAAAAGCAAGCTAAGCTAGTGCGAGATTAAATGAGAAATTCTATGTTTTTATATAAGATGGAGCAGTGTGTACTATTAGGCTTTGTTTTATGGTAATGTTCTCTACAGCGTCTAAAAGATGAGTGATTGCCTCAGGCCGTCTCGGTTATGGATAGCCATCCCGATGTGAGAATATCAGCTGGAGCAAATTCACGTGAATGGAAAGTGCATTAATTGCATTTCGATTCCGAAAGTTCATGGATAAGTCTAGTGAATAAACTCAATTTCTCTGGTGTTAACTATCAGAGAAAACAGTGCTTGGATAAAATGAAAATTTGCCTCCAGAGGCTCACAGTTGCATTCAGTGGCTGACAAAAGTCTCGCATTCGTTTTCATCAATCATCAATTCAATAACAAATTCTTGACACTTCAGTTCTATTAACCAAGCCTTTGTTCAATTGATAATCATAAATATATTGAGCGGAAACTTTAGAACTAAAACACATGGGATAAGAATTCTATTTATTTCAAACACAAAATATTCCAATTTAAATGTATGCAGTAGGCATCTTCTATTAGATTCTAGCAGCATTTGTCTGGATTTTCTTCCACAACTTTTTCGTGGAGCCCTCGTTTTCAATTTTCGGTTTTTGCCTTCTCCCAACAGGCTCTTTAAAGGGTAATAAATGGCAACACAGAAAAGGTGTTACCTAAGCAGCTAATTGAACGCAACATCTGTTAGGGAGTCGATGTTTTTATTTTGCTGCAATTTGTTTGGGTAAAGATTAATCGTTACGCTTCTGATTATTCTTCGAGGTTAACTAAATTGGGGGCAGTTAAGTTTTTGCGGTAAAAAGTATGTGATGATGCTGTTAGGGTTGTTCTTTCTCCTAGAGTGTTTTCTCGACGTTGTTGAGAGCGAAAACTTTAAATCACTGTAGCATAATCGATACAAAAACTTATGGAGTTTAGAATGAACTTATCAAAGCACTTTATTTGAATTAAATTTGAAAAAAGCTTGTGTGTGAGTCGATTTTGCATTACATTGATGAAATTGTGAACCCGAAACCCTGAAAACCGCTCATCATAATTCACCGAAGGTAATTTCCAGATACTTTCGTGTATATCACGTGGATACTCCTAAATGTCGGTTGACGCTCAATTTGTTACCTTGGCATCGCTCTAGAGCCCTCTAAGGGCTTCGTTCTTTAACGAGGAAACCTATTAACATTGTCACGCACGCAGAAGTGGCTGCGCTCGCAATTTTCCTATATCTTGACTAATATTGACTTGATTTCTCTCAGTTTTTCTGCATAGATTTAACTTGGTTGGGGAACTACGAATTCTTCTTTTACTGGCCCAAATGTTGTTTCAGGAATTTGTGAACGCAGTAGCCACCTTCCCTAAGGGTAACTCGGGCATCGCTGATATTCTCCGTTTCCTGTGTATTTGCCTCAAATTGCTCCGTTTTGAGGCGTTCAGAATTTAGGTCAGGCTCGAAAGTGCTGCGGGGCATTAAACAGATATTCCTTCTTATGGCAAATATAAAAAAAGTCTCAGTTGAATGTCAATGAATTAAAGCAGGTACTTCTCAAAGCAGTATGTATGCTGCTACCAATTAAATGTTGAATTCTAGTTTGGGTCAGTCTAAATAGTTTCATTCTGAGTCGCCAGTCACTTTATGAGCTATTCTCTAAGCAACATAAGACATGCAACAGGCTTTTTTAGGAAAAGGTGGTTTATTCGTTCAATTGTTGGATAACGAGAAAACCGCATTTCCGAATGATGGCATGGAGAAAATTTGCTCAGAACACGTTGAAGAACCAGGCTAAGTCCATTTGCTCTAAAAGTGTATATGGTTATAATTTGTCTTTAAGTTTGTGCTTAAAAATAAAATACTTTGAACTAAAATCCTGTGTTTTGTCTCAATGGATAATCTGTTTTCTTAATGTAAGTGATATTCCTGCATTCCATGATATTTTTTATAAAGAAAAATCGTCGCAAATTGTATTATTTCAAGAACCAAATCAATATTGGAAGAGTAGCAAAACCGTTACACTTATTTATAACAAAACTTAATTAAACCATTGAGTGA